TCTCCAAATATTTACTCAGTGGCTTCTGTAGTCTTTCTTTGCACAAAGTATTTTATTTGAACTGAGAATTTAATTACAGTATACCACAGTGTATACTAAGTAATAATAATTGTTGAGTGCGATGAAGACGAAAAGTAAGAGAAACATTGTTTACTAACCTCATTGACAATGAAAAGTTTGTCTTTGCGGTCAAGTTTAGTTTCTAGAAAAGATTGACATAGGGAGAAATGTTATAGGAACATTTTCATGTTCAGTTTAGTTTTAACTTCTACTGTAGCATTCATTTTGACTTTCAAGTTTAACATCTCTTTAGGATAGGAATGAGGCTGTTTATCCCCAACCAGCTCCTCAAGAGGCTGCCAGGGCAAGCAAAAGAAATTTTGAATATATTAAAAAATATAAAACAATGTTGACAGCAGTTTCATGAGACTGCCTAAAATCCTCCACCTTTTACTTTGTTAACCCTTTGACCCCTCAGTGACTAGCATCTAATTTCTCCTAACAATATCATCCCTGAATCAAACAAAAAGGTCATGAGAATAAAGGAAATGATCATCCAGTTAAAGCAGCTCTTGATTGTTAAACAAATTCTCCTTGTCAACACCTTAGGGAATGTATAGAGAACATTATGGAGAATATGCATACTGATGTCAGGGTGAAAAGGGTTAACTCAGAAACATGGCTTACATCTACATTATAACTACTTTGATTATTGCCTATGATACATGTAGGAGTAAAGATGTATTTTGGAATGATTGGTTTAAGGTCAACATGCATGGACCAAAACCAAATATATTCATGCAAATAGATGTCTATGAGAATTGATCATAAAATCATTAACATCATAGTCATTTACCGGATTTTGAATGGGGCAACAATGTCTGTATATCCAGCATAAGATGCCTTGCTCTACAAAAATTTACAAAAGAACATGTATCAAGAATGCCCTACACTTTCAAATAAACTACAATTCACAACGAGTGTAAACTAGTTAACCAATAGATTCCACGCTTTTGTGTGTCTGCCCAGAAATCAAAATGTGGTAAGAACAAAAAAGAAGCGCAGGAAGAGCAGCCGAGTCTGTCGGTGATGTTATTTCCACATTTTTACATCTTCTGTGATCTATCAGTGAAAAGACTCACTGCAATATGGAATCTACATGTGTTTTATATAGTTACTATCAATACTAAAGAAGCAAAAAAAAAAAAAAAAATTGTTGATGGTGACATCATCTTTGGGTCTGTCCTCCAATGTGTCATACGTAAGAGCCCATAAAAATGCGCGCGTAATTCTACATATCTGGAATTAAGCAAAATACATAATTTCCAAGCAAGTTTACAGAAAGTCAACTCATTGCATGATGCTTTAGCAAGGCCCTAAAATTTAATCAAGTCTATGCATGCAGCGTAATGAATAGAATACCACGCTACTCGCATATGTCATATAACATATATAATTAAAGCACAGAATGACATTATTCATCTTCTGTCGTAAAATCTCACTATCTTTGCCTCTTCGATCTCACCTGTGTGATATACCACGTGAACAGAACACCAACACGCGTTGTTTGTTTGTCCATTTTCCCTATAAATAAATGACCAAAAATTTGATTTGTTCATACAGAAACACAGAATAACTAAACACTGATTTGATCTAACCTTTTTCGTTTTCTTTTTCTTCGGCTGTACTCCATCAGAATTATTAGAAGTTTCCACTTCTTCGATAGACCTTTTCTTCGCCATTTTGAATTTTGCGAGTTTAGCTTGGTAACCGAGCTTTTGCGAAAACTGCTGATTTAGCACTGCAGACCTGTAACAATATTGTTGTCTTTCGAAGAGGCGCCGGTGAAAGGGGTCACACTTTTTAAAACAGGTAAATACTCTTCCGAAAACAAAGTCTTCTGAGACTATGCTGTATATTTAATTATGTAGATAGTAGGTCTAATTCTTAATTACGAGGTAAGGAACTATGAAACTTTTTGCATGATCTTGGCTCACATCGTGCTGTATGTTCTGTGACTCAAACGCGGGCTTTTTAGTCAGTATTATGTTTAAAACATCGAAAATCAACTCTAGTTTGTTGAAAAATGCGAGATTTTGCATCCATTATTTTGTCGTTATTTTGCTTTAAACCAATATTAATAGACCGAACAATCAGAAACGACCATGATTACACAGGGGCTTCATTAATGTTTTCTGGAGGAGGGCAACTGGTTTTCACAGGCGGGCAAAACTCTTTTAACTGAACTTCTTTATAAGATAAACTTTCCTCCAGATGGTCAAATCAGGTGGGCAAAACCGTCCTCACAACCGGTCAATTTGCCCGGTGCCTGGCCCTTAATGAAACCCCTGATTACATGTATTTCCAAGTCAATAAAAGGAAAGCGTTCTTCCATAATCATTAACCAAAAAATATAGCAACTGACGTTATTGAATAGTTTATCGTTGTATCTTTAGTTTTGATCGTTTTGTTGATATAAGAAAGAAAAAAGATTACATTTTAAAATTTTTTCCACGTGTAGGGTGATTTTTTTTTTTGAAAAGGAGAGAAATTAGCAAACATGGGTTCTGTTCATGGAGGAGCTATGAAAGAAACAATGGATGAAAATATGAAGAAGAATCAGGAATTTATGTTAAAAACTCAACAAATACAGGTAATTTAGCTATGTGGGGTAGTACTGTGATCTGGTTTGAGACTTGGTTTCAAAGTTTAATTGGAGTTCAGCACTAGTGCTATGACAGTTTCACACATTAAGAGCTGTGAGCCCCTCCTACTTTGCAGAATTTTGCCAGTTATTTCAATGATCAAATGAAAGTGTAGTTAAGATGCTGGTAGAACTTAATGTGTAACAGTTATATATAATAGAAAATTATTCACTGAGTGGATATTTGACTCCCAGCAAAACAAAATGAATTTTAATCCTCAATATCCTAATGTTAGAGTGCCTATCCTCCATACTCTTCTCTACGCGTTATGTGTATGACCTTCCTGTTTGATTCAGCAGTGCTAATTAACTGCCTCCCGGTTAGCTCAATAAATAGAGCACTGCACTATTGTACAGTAGGTCAAGGGTTTGAGCCCCGGCCGGACCAACACTCAGGTCTTAAAATAATTGAGAAGAATATGCTACCTTTCTATAATATCAAGAAATGGGTAGATATTCTAGTCTTCTCGGATAGGGATGAATAAATGGAGGTCCCATCTCCTGCAGGGTTAGGGGTAGGAGACGTTAATTTTCCACACACGAGATTACTGTGTGATGGGATGTCCTCCCCTGGGGTGGGATGGGTGGGTTGAGGGCCATGGGTTAGAAAACTGTAATAGGTTATTGCGCTTCCCTCTTTGAAAAAATATTAAGTTAATCTACAGAGGAATTAGGTGCTAAGGGGTTAACCTTTTGCCCTTTGACCCCAAAGAGTGACCAGCATCTAATTTCTCCTTACAATATCACCTCAGATTCCCACTTTAAGGTCACGAGAAAAAAAGAAATGATCACCTACTAAAGAAGCTCTTGGTTTTTTAACAAATTCTCCTTGACAACACCTTAGGAAATGTATAGAGAACAGTATGGAGAATATGCCTACCAATGTTAGGGTGTAAAGTGTCAGAGTAAGCCATATTCCTTAGACATGGCTCAAAAATACCATTATATCTGGGAAGAAACAAGTTTGTTTTTGTAGATCAGTAGTCCATACTGCTTCTCTTTTGATTGTTATGGCTGGTGGAAAAAATTTTGGCAAATAAATTTCCCCTGAAGTTATCAAGTTACTAAATTCCATAAAATAATTTTTTTCAGATGGGAAGACAGCTTCAAATGCAGAATGCTATGAGAGAAAGACAGATGTCCATGCAGCTGGCTGGAGCAAGAGAAATGTTTAATTGGTTAGCTACATTCTATGGTATTGCAACAATTGTGATGTTTGCAGGGTAAGTGTTACATAATACTCAGCTGTTCACACAAAGTTCTCTGTCCA